AGGTGAATGGGGACGCAGGTTATGGATACGGACGCTGAATGGGGACGCGGGTTATAGATACTGAGGTGAATGGGGACGCAGGTTATAGATACGGAGGTGAATGGGGACGCAGGTTATGGATACGTAGGTGAATGGGGACGCAGGTTATGGATACGGACGCTGAATGGGGACGCGGGTTATAGATACTGAGGTGAATGGGGACGCAGGTTATAGATACTGAGGTGAATGGGGACGCAGGTTATGGATACGGAGGTGAATGGGGACGCAGGTTATGGATACGTAGGTGAATGGGGACGCAGGTTATATATGGGGAGTTTAGTGTACACGATCGGGACAAATGTTGTTTGTGTCCTGGAAGCCATCTTGTCATCCTCTTAGCCAATGACCTGTGGGAATGTTGTGGGGTGTGGCTTGTGGAGTGATTGGCTGATCCCCTGTGATGTCACTTCCTGTGTAGATGCTGCAGAGACCTCTGACAGGTGAACAAGCTGAGCGTGTGAAGGAAACGCTCGGCTTCTCCGGGACGGATCTGATCCGAGTCCGAGCTACAAAACCAGACTACGAGGTCGGATCTTCCAGACAACTTCTCAGACGCCCGGTCCCAGGTACGGAGCCACGGAGGGCCACGGGGCCCGGGGGAGTGATTCATGGGGGGGGGAATCATAATGAAGGGGCCACAGTGCCGGGAGAACCAGATACTGAGGAGTACATCCCAGTGTAATAATTGTACGTGTCTGAGGGGGGCGCTATTCTCTATCTGTACCCAGAGATCACATTATGCTGGGCTTGCTGTAGGCATTGACACTGGGGTCAGTCACAGGGATTACATGCTGGGCTTGCTGTAAGCATTGACACTGGGGTCAGTCACAGGGATGACATTATGCTGGGCTTGCTGTAGGCATTGACACTGCGGTGAGTCACAGGGATCACATTATGCTGGGCTTGCTGTAGGCATTGACTCTGGGGTCAGTCACAGGGATCACATTATGCTGGGCTTGCTGTAGGCATTGACTCTGGGGTCAGTCACAGGGATGACATTATGCTGGGCTTGCTGTAGGCATTGACACTGCGGTGAGTCACAGGGATCACATTATGCTGGGCTTGCTGTAGGCATTGACTCTGGGGTCAGTCACAGGGATCACATTATGCTGGGCTTGCTGTAGGCATTGACACTGTGATTAGTCACGATCACATTATGCTGGGCTTGCTGTAGGCATTGACTCTGGGGTCAGTCACAGGGATGACATTATGCTGGGCTTGCTGTAGGCATTGACACTGCGGTGAGTCACAGGGATCACATTATGCTGGGCTTGCTGTAAGCATTGACACTGCGGTCAGTCACAGGGATCACATTATGCTGGGCTTGCTGTAGGCATTGACACTGCGGTCAGTCACTGGGATCACATGCTGGGCTTGCTGTAGGCATTGACTCTGGGGTCAGTCACTGAGATCACATTATGCTGGGCTTGCTGTAGGCATTGACTCTGGGGTCAGTCACTGGGATGACATTATGCTGGGCTTGCTGTAGGCATTGACACTGGGTTCAGTCACTGGGATCACATTATGCTGGGCTTGCTGTAGGCATTGACACTGCGGTCAGTCACTGGGATCACATGCTGGGCTTGCTGTAGGCATTGACTCTGGGGTCAGTCACTGAGATCACATTATGCTGGGCTTGCTGTAGGCATTGACTCTGGGGTCAGTCACTGGGATGACATTATGCTGGGCTTGCTGTAGGCATTGACACTGGGTTCAGTCACTGGGATCACATTATGCTGGGCTTGCTGTAAGCATTGACACTGCGGTCAGTCACTGGGATGACATTATGCTGGGCTTGCTGAAGATGGGGGAGGCATTATTGGGACACTTCCTGTGTCTATCTAGCCTGTCACATCCACCTCCTATGAGGATTTTTTTATGATGAGCGCTCAGTTGTAGTGTTGGGGAATGTGCAGCAGCTTCTGGTTAATGGAGGATTGGAGTAGTAGTCTGACTGTTCTCATTCCTCTCCCAGGGAAGCCTCAGGTAGATGCAGCTGCAGTGAAACTCTGGACGCTGTCAGCAAATGACATGAACGACGTAGATGTGGTAAGTGTCTTCTTCTGGGCCGTCATTGGGTGTCCTCGGCCTTACATGAAGTGTCTTCTGGGCCGTCATTGGGTGTCCCCGGCCTTACATGAAGTGTCTTCTGGGCCGTCATTGGGTGTCCCCGGCCTTACATGAAGTGTCTTCTGGGCTGTCATTGGGTGTCCCCGGCCTTACATGAAGTGTCTTCTTCTGGGCCGTCATTGGGTGTCCCCGGCCTTACATGAAGTGTCTTCTGGGCCGTCATTGGGTGTCCTTGGCCTTACATGAAGTGTCTTCTGGGCTGTCATTGGGTGTCCCCGGCCTTACATGAAGTGTCTTCTTCTGGGCCGTCATTGGGTGTCCCCGGCCTTACATGAAGTGTCTTCTGGGCTGTCATTGGGTGTCCCAGGCCTTACATGAAGTGTCTTCTGGGCCGTCATTGGGTGTCCTCGGCCTTACATGAAGTGTCTTCTGGGCTGTCATTGGGTGTCCTCGGCCTTACATGAAGTGTCTTCTGGGCTGTCATTGGGTGTCCTCGGCCTTACATGAAGTGTCTCATACCGAGTAAGATTTAATCAGACTGACACACATGATGATTGGTGGTGGTGATGATGATGATGATGGTGGTGGTGATGATGATGATGATGGTGGTGGTGGTGATGGTGATGATGGTGGTGATGGTGATGATGGTGGTGATGATGATGGTGGTGGTGGTGGTGATGATGGTGGTGGTGGTGATGATGGTGGTGGTGGTGATGATGATGGTGGTGATGATGGTGGTGGTGGTGGTGGTGGTGATGGATGATGGTGGTGATGATGGTGGTGATGATGATGGTGGTGGTGGTGGTGATGATGATGATGATGATGGATGATGATGGTGATGATGGTGCTTTTCCTCCTCTAAGGATCTCTTGGACTCTGATGATCTTCTGGATCAGGATGACCTGAAGAAGCCGCTTCCTTCTACACTGAGGTCGTCCGGCTGTGGGGAAAGCACTGACAAGAAACGCAAAGCCTGCAAGAACTGGTGAGCTCTCCACCTTGTATAACATGGGATGTACAGGGGCCACAGAGATCCCGCCCCCAGGTCTGAGGTGTAGGAGGAGGGGCCCCGCCCTCGGGTCTGAGGTGTAGGAGGAGGCGTCCCGCCCCCGGGTCTGAGGGGTAGGAGGAGGGGCGCCGCCCCCGGGTCTGAGGGGGGGGAGGGGGGGGCCCGCA